TTTCCATCCTTCTCCGTTTCTCTTCTCATTTTAAGTACTCTGTTTATTAAGTGGGTTTATAAATTCAAGAAAGTACTTTCTAACCATTTGTTCCATGCTTAGTAAGAGTGGAAGCCTGATAAATTGTATTTGATCTTTTGAATAAATGTAATTCTTGCCTCATCTGTATTCTGTCTTCAGTGCAAAAGTTGCTGACCACCAATTTTTGGATTCTCAAACATAGCTTTTCCAAAATACAAGAGGTTGGTTCCTGATGAATATTTCATTATTCCACTATTTAGCAAGATCTGAATTTGTTCATGACCACATGATCCAAAATTATCCTCTTCTACCTGCATTTCTAACATATTCACTCTATTTGCTAAGATAACTGTTTCTATTTTGTAGGCTGTTAACATTTTTAGATCAACCATGTCCATCATGTCTTAGGACATATGTTTCATGTCAGGAATGTTATTTCTAATATGTTTTTAGTAAATAAAATGTGTGCTGAATTTGCAAATATGTGATATATGGCAATTTAACTGTTTTTTCAACATAGATTTTTAGTATACTTGTAGATTAATTCATCTGATTTTAAATAGTTTTACAGTAAATTACAGGAGTGGTGGATGACACATTTATTCTTCAAGGAACCTGTACAGAAACTAGATACGATTCTTTCCAGTAGTTAACTTGGCACCTGATATTGCAAATTACTCTATGAAGACATCAGAGGAGATTTTCTGTGTCAGTTTATTTATAGCATCAGACCTCACTTTTTTTTATGTTCCCAAAATGCTAAGTGATAGTTCACTCTCAATTACACTGCTCTACCATATAAAAAATCCACAGCACGTACATAAATATTTTACTGAGTGCAATATCTCTCCTTGATTTCTCAAAGAAAGAATGTAGCACCTACCATCAACCAAGCTCTCAGTATTTGAGTAATCTGAGAATATGATAGTTCTAAGAAAAGCACAGATGTGATAATTCTGAATAATGCACCTAAATGCTTCAGAGGGGCAGAATTTAAGACCCATTACTATTGACTAGATTCAACAACACCCCACTACAGAAACTGACTTGCATCTGTAGGAGTTATAGATGCTTTAGTGAAAGATTACATACATTCCTAAAAACCTGAACCACTGGGGAGAGTTGAGGATTCATAATGCCAAGAATCAGACTCAGTCTAAACGCTGTGTTGCAACCTAAAGGAGCTGCTGAGGTGCAGAAATGCGCAAGATATGCAGGATTTTATATGTAATTTTACCTCTTTAGACAATGCTGGAGAGGATATCATAGGATAGTCATCTGAACAAATGCAAGAATGGAAACAACTGGCTGAATATAAATTTTACAGAAAAGAGCTCCAGAATCTACTGTGAATTTTAATCTAAAACTGTGTGAAGTGCTGTGCCGCAGCAAAAATCAAATATGTTACCATAAGGGATAACAAGAATGGGCAGTAATTCTTATGCTCTGTTAAGTGTTAGGAAGGTCTTAACAGGTCCTAACAGAAGTATTGTGTCCTATTTTAGCTAGGAGATTTAGTTTCTAGTGGTAAGGATAGCTAAGTATTACCTAGGGAGGTGAGAGACTCTCCAGTGATGGAAGTCTTTAAAAACTGGTTAGGTAAACCTGGATAAAAAATGTATATACCTGATCCTGCCCTGGAGCACTGGATGAACTGGATGACTGCCTAATATCTTTCCAGCCCTGTTTTGTATGGATGTCATGAATTTTAGAATTATGTGAATAAAACATACAGTTCTGGTAGGATATTGTAATATAGCAGAAAATACAGAAAAACAGGAAACTTGATGTTGAAAAAGTCATGTTTTAGTTCATTTAAAAGAACTTACGTTACTTTTCTCAAGAGAAGTTGAAAAGTATCTTGATTATTGCACTGAAGATGAAAAGTACTTCTAAAGAAAATGTTAGTTCTGAAACCTTCTTAGATAAGTAGAGAAATACAGCAACAATGAAAGGATCACTAATTAGAGGCTGAACAAGTTCACGCTGGAAATAATGCCAAAGTGTTAACAAGATGTCAACCACTGAGGCAAACTAGCAAAAACCCACACGAGGGTTATAAAGCAGAAACCTTTCTGAAAGATGTGCTTTTGGGAAAGATATGATGCACAAGTGAAGAAATGCATACATTTTGGTATGATGGATTTCAGATTTGATTATCCAATGTTATCTTTTCAGTTTAAGTGCTACTCAATCTGTAAAACCCTTTTCCTTCTCTGAAATTCTTTGTTGGGTTTAAGTTTTAATTTTCTGATGTCTTTTATGACTATAGCGATATCTACCACTTCATATGCTAATTTCCTTCTAGGAATAGACAAAAAATAATAGAAATATATAGTACAATCTGATAAGTTCTACATAGGTTGCTCTGAAAGTAATGCCTCTTATTTATTTCCACTACAACAGATACAAAGAGCAAAATAACTATTTGAAAAAATAAATTCTCATCTCTAAAACACTATTTTTCATCTTAGTCACTAACATTAGCAATACATTTTCACCTGCTATGTGTGCCTAATTCATAAAAATTTTCACTGGTAGAGGTGACCCACTGTTTCACTGAAATGCACATTCCATCACCCCACTGTTCTTGTATCTACTGTTTTGTACCCATAAATGTTCAGTAAGCATTCATGAATGTCAATGGGAGCCATTTTTTCTGCATGGAGTAGTTCAGTGACACACCTTTGCTTCATATGCACTTCCATGTCAGATGCCATTTTGTCAGAGTGTCCCTCTGCTGCCATCTGTCACAGAAACAAAATGTAATGGAACTCTGGTGGGAAGGTTCAGTCTCTACTGATGTACCATCACTATCTGCCTGTAACACTGTGGGCCTCCTATTTTAATAGCAGGCATTACATTTGAAGCAGCCGTGGTATATTTTGTGATGATAGACTATGTCAATCATAATTTATAGAACATAAAAGAACTGTTTGCAGGTTATTGAATAAATCCTGCTGTTTTGGAAAAAAAAGGAAAAGAAAAGAGGCCATATGCTTGCAAGGAAATGAAGGACTTCAACCTGCCTGGAACTTTCCAATATTTAACAGATTATATTTGCTCTTTCATTTTCTTTTGTCCCAGCATGGGTCCCATTATAGGGAAGATGAAATTGAGCCCAGAGGGAAAAAATAAATAAGTAAAATCCTCTATAATTGGCATTGGTTTCATTGGCACTGGAAGTTTGCAGGTTTTCTTTCAGGATCAGGTCCTTACATTTTATGTTCATCTTCCTGGCTATATGTCTGTAAGTCTAATTAGTCTGTAAGTTGAAAATGACAGCAGGGGAACTATTCTAAAAAAAAAAAGAAAGAAAGGAAGAAAGAAAAAGAGAAAGAAAGAAAGCAGGATTGCATCTGTTTTGTTTCTCAGACTAGCAGAGCTCTTGGCTTAACAAGAATAAAAATAAATGATGAATTTCCTGCCTTCAGGAAAAAAAAAAAAAAAAAAAAAAAGTTGGTGTTGCAGTGTATTACAAATGAGATGTCTTCACTTGCCTTGAAGATAATATAAATTTTTAGCAACAGAAACTCTAGTGGGATGGTATAGCTAATACCTGTTATATTTTCAAGTGCTATTGTCATGAGCTATATTCATATGCAGTTTCCTCACCTTTTGCATTTTAGGCATACTCTGCATTTTGCTTTGCCATTTGTCTGTATGGACACAATTGAAAGCACATTCTCTCAAATCAGATATTCTACTGTATCATACAGTAAGAAGAGAAATGATTTTTAAATGTAACTTTGTCACAAGAAGCTCATGAATATATTCATAAAGTCAATATTCCCATACACTCCCTGACCTTCAAAAATTTTCTGAAGACTGTAGATTAAGAATTCAATGAACACTTACAGAAAGAATGTAATTGCCATTCCAGCCTTCCTAGGTAATACATGAGAAGTAGAAACAATGGACAGGGGAGGAACAATCCCTATGAACTGAAAGAAGACACATACATGCGTGCTACACTAAAAGAAAATAGATTATTTGAATGTGTATGAAAGATAATGACACTTGCTACTATTCCGTGCAGAAAATAGAAAATAGAATATAGAAAAAATAGAAAACTTAAGCTGGATCAGAGGAATAACAAGGAGATACTTCTTGCCTTTGTAGTTTTTGACTGTCTATTCAGAGAAACCCATTACTAGCTCCACTGATTAATAATTTCAGGCCTAAACCCTAAATAATCTGCACAGAGTAGGTCTATGTTATTTTTGGTTCCAATGATATTTTCAGATTCTATAGCTCTATAGAAAACTTTGCTCCATAAATTTGCAATTGAAGATCCTCTATACTGGTATTCGTTAAAAAGCATGTCAAGCTGAAGCCTAATGAAATTCTGTACACGTATTTGACTCAGGATATTTCCTCCTGCTACTTTCTGCTGCTAGTATAGAAACAACGTAACTGCTGTAAACCAATAATATTTTAATTTTTCTACTTTCTTCACACAGAAGAGGATCATAAGACTACTCTTGATGTTTCAGAACATAAGATGTAATGTGATGTATTGACACCAGGACTATTTATCTTCCAATCTGTAGTAGCACATTTGCTTTTTTCTGTACATGTGAGGAAACCACTTATATGAAGTGTTAACAAATACATACATTCAGTGTTTCGTGTTAATTAATAGTAAAGATATTAACAGAAAATTACATAAACTGCAGGAAGGTATGCACAGCAGCCAAGACAGAGCCAGTAACATCTCCTTATTAAAAATGCGTTGAGTATACTGGTTTGCTTTTAACCTGAATATAAGCCTTCTACACCAGCATAAGCAACGAGCAAGCCCTCTGCGACACTGAGCACAGGCATGCCAGCAATGCGGCCACGGCAGGAGAGTGCTCAGGTAGCCCAGGTCGCCAGGCCAGAACAATGCGAGCCCCAGGGGCTGCCAGCAGCGATATGCAGGAAGAAGACTGGTGAGACAAAGGACTCAAACGGAACCGGGGCGGAGCAGCAGGAGAGGATCCGGAACTTGAAATCGAAAGTAAAGCCTAAACTGAGGGAGTGGAGAGTGGGGCAGGAAGGTCTTTGAGGCTCTTTGCCTGTGCTTCAGCAGCCGCAGAAAACGCAAAGGTCGGTGCTCGTGGTGCTGGTCTTCAATAGAGGGTGAGAACTGATCTCCAACAGTAAGTGTCGTCGGAGTGGATGGATTCAGTAAGGTTTGACTTTAAGTCTAAAACTGACCACCTTTGTCAGTATTAACACTCAGGTCTCACAATTTCTTTAACTGATATATATATATATATGTATACGTGTGTGAAATTTGTTTGCAGCAACATTTGAAGAGTTAACACCTCCATGGTTTCTTTCCCAAATGCAGCACGAGATGTGAGGATTCGTTAACGTTTTGAGGATGCGTGAATAGAACTCTAAGAGATGGTATTACACATTTTGCGATTTTTTTTCGTAAATACTGCGTTTATTATGCTCTGTCCATGGAAGTTGTTTCTCTCTTTTTTCATTTCCGTTTGTAGTTTTTCTATCAGAGTTAAGACATCTTTTAGGAAAATTCTTGTGTGCAGATTGCCATATACAAAAATCCCTCAGCTTTGGCTGCTTAGAGAAAAGCCTGCAACAGGGGGCACTGAATGTTCAGCTGCACTGAGTTTCAGGACAAAAAAAAGCTAGAATTTTTCTAGCTTAAGTAACCCTTGACTGCTTTACCTGGATTCGGGGAAGAGGTGGGGTAGGATGGGGGGGTTGGGGAGGGGGGGGAAGGGGAGGGGGGGGAAGGGGAGGGGGAGGAATGTTTGTTATCAAGGCCTGGATTTGATTCTTTCTTACTGAGGTGAAATCTCTAATGAAGTGAGAAAGAAAAGCTTTGTCCAGGCAGCTGCTGAACAGAGAGGAGCCGGGGCCTGAGTAGGTTGACTAGGCTTAGAAATGGATTTTGCGTTCTAGCTGCAGACTCAGCTATCACCAGTCCTCATCAGACCCTCAAGTATTAAGTGCTTCATCCTATTTGGAAGAAGTAATCTCGGTCTTCAGATAAGCCTGCCTCATCGATTTTCCTGCTGGTTGGCAGAATGCTGCAGGCTGGTGAGGAGCAGGCTGCACAGCCTGCCCGGGTGGAAACAAGGAGCTCCTGCCCTCCTGTGCTCCTGTGTCCTGGGGAGCTGCGGTGCGTGCTTAAGCAGCTGGGCTGGGACGTCAAGATCGGCTTGACGTCAAGCTTTTTTTTTTTTTTTTTGGCTTTGGATTGTTTCAGATCTGCTTCCCCAAAGTGCATGGGGAGAGGGAGAACTGGAGAGGCAATGCAGCAACATGCTGCAACAAGAGAAAATTCTTGAAATATCCTGGACTCAGAGTTCGCGGTGGATTTATAATTAGCTCTCCGTATTCTTTTGAAACGCCTGTCATGGTCTTACATTTTCTATCTGGGACACAGAACAGGTCCTTCTAAGAGAGAATCTCAGCAAAATTGAAAACGTGATGAAAGTGTTAAGCAGCCGAGCAGTTTGTAGAATTATTCTTTCGTGTGGTAACATGCAGGGCTGCTTGGAGCTTCCTGCATTCCCCTTACAGTCACCCTATGGCACTTAGTATCTGAGCTGTGTTTCCAGACATACGAACTCCGCTTCAGCCGTAACCTGGAGGGGGACATAGCAGCTCTCATTGGCACTGCGAACCTCTCCCGAAGAGGCAGGCAATGCGCCCAGCTCCCTGCCAGGCACTGTAGTCATCAGCCTTCCTGTGTCAAACACGGGATGACCATAAAGCAGCAGAGAACTACAGTTTAAGCAAGAATGTTATTTGATCAACGTATTTATTTTGCAGCGGTCTTGAACAAAGACGGAGCTAAGAAACTTGCTTAGCTTCCTAAAGCACCCAAAGTCCGGGGGTTTGAAAGACTGAATGGCGCCTGGGGTGGGGGCCTCACAGCCTGATGTTCCAAGGAAGATGTCGTTTCAGAAAAGCTGGGAGGGCAATGTAGTCTCTGAATCGAAGATTGCTCCCAATCCCCCCTAATTAACACAAGCCTTGTTAAATTGCCTGTAGGCACGCATGACTCAGTCCCACATGATCAAGAGCATAAATCTGGCCTTCTGCCAATGCTTTGAAAGGAGATAATTCCACTGGCCTGGGTGGAGCTGGCTCATCTTCCTATCCCCAGTAGGAGGGACACCAATTTCGATGAGATATCGCCCTCCCCTGGTGGCCCCAGCTCTTAACACATGGAGTAGGGGTTCAGGGCTATCTCTTCAGTCACGCCGCCCCTGGCTTGAGGAGCTGGGTTATCTCCCTAGGAGGAGGTTGCTCGAGCCAACCCAGAGAGCCCCAGAGAGTCCCATGCTCTCACTGGGCCGCATCCCTACGCACCCCGTCTTGGCGTCCTCAGATTGCAGCCAGAGTCTGGGAATCTGGGCTCTCATGTATGTACATAATAGATTGTACTGGTCTCTGCTTGTTTTAAACGATGTAGTTTTAAAAGTATGGTACTTAAAATTTACTGTAAGTCAAATTGTTAAAAGGACATATGGTGTATGTACGTTAACACCATCTAGAAAAAGACAATAAATGATTGGTAAAATCAGATTGAAAGGCCCTCCTTATTAATTACTTTGAAAGTTGCAAGTTCTTCTGTTTCATTCTGCTACTGCACCTCTGCGCTCTTCTTTCCACTACAGAACTCTCATGCATTTATCTTGAGATAGCTCTTGGAGTAGTTTTTCTTTTAAAGACTGAGACAACATAGCTCTGTATTTCTAAATACAGCTTGCAGTTGGTAATAGAGGAGTCTATAGATAGTGCAGGTGACATCATTTTATGTATCTTCTAAAGTTGAGCTCCTAAGGAAACTCCCATTCTGGCTGAGACCAAGATCTACCATCTCACTTTCCATGACAGTTTGGTACGAGTAGATTTCTAGCTGTCACAGAGATAAACGCACTTCTTTGCAAGCACAAATTATAAATAACGGGGAAAAATACATTATTTAAATATTATTATTGTTTACATTTATGTTTCTCTATCTTGACATATGTAAACAGTGTTACACCTCTAAGGGTTCATGGAAGAGGTGTCCCAACACCGTAAACTTGGATTATCAGTGGTGAGATAATAAAATTATATTTTTATTTTGCTTATGTATTGTCCTTTTCTATCAGTATATACTTAGATTCCATTTGAAAGCTTCTGTCCGAAATAATCAGGGCTAAATTTTAATTTTATAAAGTGAAAATATATTTTTGGAATTCCATAGATAATTGCTTTTAGAAATGCTCTGAATATTGAATGAGCTTTAAAAACTGTATGCTTTATAGCTTTTTATATGAAAATTCATGCAATGTAACTTTTAAATGATGCTTTGTAAAATACAGAAATGTTAATTATCACATTCGTTATGTTTAGATTGCATCCAAAGAAGCCAGAAATTCTAGATAACCAATTTTTATTGAAATTTTATGATCTCTGTTTCAGAGCCTTGTATGGAAGAGTTCTTGTTTATTTCTGACTTTTTTTAATCTTGTGGAAAATAAGAGTAGGATCTCATGTATTTATTTATTTATTTATTTATTGTGATCCATTCAGATGACATTTCTCAGTTGTATGTATGCTTTCTTGCCCTGGCCATTCCATCCACATTTTTTCATGCTTTTGCAGACTCTAAGTTGTGGAAGTAGATTTGATTAGCTTTCATCAGATATAAATTACTAAGGCTTAGCAATTTTTGCACAAATTTGATGTAGGGGAGAAAAAGACTGCCTACAAGACACAGACAGATGTGTTAGAACTAGATGCCATTACTGGAATGTCACTTACTTTATGATTTAATATAGTATGAAGGGTGCTCCACCCTTCAGAAGTAATGTCTTTTATTTTATTGTGTTGGCTCACAACATCAGAGGTGGGTGTTGGTGGTGCGGCAGTAGAGGTTGAACCTTCCTGACAATATTCCATTACATGTTGTTCCTTTGTGATAGATGACAGTGGAAGGGCAATCTGATGAAATGGTGTCTGACATGGAAATACATATGAAGCATGTGTGTGGTTGAATTTCTCAGTGTGGAAAAAAAATGGCAACCATTGATGTTCACTGACTCTTGCTTAATGTTTATGGAGATCAGATGGTGGATATGTGGTGGGTGCATCTCAACAATGATGCTATAATAGCAGCTGTGAACAATGGTCACCTCTGCTGCTGAAGATTTTTGTGAACTTTGCATTTAGGCTCCTGTATATTGCTAGTGAGAATGCATAGCTAATGATGGTGACTGTGTTAACAATAGTGTTTTGTAGCTGAGAATTTGCTTTATCAAATACTTATTGTGCTCTTTGTACCTTCTATTGAAAAAAAAAAAATTGGAGGCATTACTTTTGGAGCAATATACGTGTTATGAGGAACAGACAGGATTAGCTCTGAAATTTGGAAGAGACTGACATAAACTTGTAAATCTTGTGGGTTGGTAAGGCAGAGTCATTAATTAATGAGGAAAGCAGGATCCATTTCAATGGAGTAGTTTATCATTCTTTGCTGGCATGGCAAAATGTCAAGATTCTTGGTGCCAGCAGGTTTTTCATACCTTGCAGTCTCCTTTATTCTCAGACTAGGAAAATTTACCTGCCACAGTTTAAGCTGTGAAGGTTATTTGTCTGACTTTGAATGGGTCTGTAACCTACGGGTCACCTACAGAAATCTGCTTTTCACCAGAAATGGCTGAGAGGTGTGTAGTAAGACTGGAAGACAGGGGAGATAATGGCAGTCAAAATAGCTGTTCTGCAAGAGGTAAGTATCAGCACAGAGAAGCAGTACTAGCTGTTCAGAAAATTATGCTGCTTGGAGGCTAAGGGTACCTTTGAGCCTTAAAGATGATTGGAATTATAAGCTGAAACTGGAGATTTAGAAAAGGAGCAAATTATGGGCATGAATATCTTGTAACAGTTCCTTCATATCTTGCTATAAGAGCTGGGTCTGGGAAAGTCGTCCAGGTAGTCGTCCAACTAAGCAACTGTTCTGACTTAACATTTCCATCTAATTAGAATGAAACTGGAGCTGTTATGCCTTTGTGACTCCCATTTTCCCATGATAATAATTTGTCTGTAGTAGGCTTTTAAAGATTTGCCATCTTAGGTTTTCCCAGAGTGCAATCATCTTTTCATGTGGACAGCTTAGAGCTTTAGCGTCTGAAAATTCAATGAGCCATTGGACATATCAGGATCCCATGTTATAAAGAGTAAAGTCGGGCAACTTAATACCTACAAGAGGACCTCTTTTGTGCCAGTTGGGAACTTGGAGGTTCTGAGCATGCCATGAATTATGCTGAAATGTGGAAAAAGTCCCATGGAAAAATGGAAAGGCTTGAGGTTCTGGCATAAAGTCACAAAGTAGGAAATTAGGTAATTAAAATTTACCAAGTGCGCTTTGATGAAAATTTAAATGTAATGTGACTTATTCTACTTCTTCCACTGAAGAAACAAATGATGAGAAAATTGAAATGAAGCTCTTTTTTTTTCCCCTAAAATTTCCAAGATAGATAACTGACCCATAATCTGTGGATTTATTTATGTCATATTATACTGTTTGTGACTATTTATGCATTTAGTTCAATGTTATTATAAAAGGATTGTTTTCTCCTTTATACAAGTAGAATTTGAAGGCACAAAAAAAGACAAAGGACACTTTAAAGAGTAACTTCCACTGGAACTTTGAAGTATTTGGAAATAAAATCTCGATTCACCCAAGAGCGCATGTGGATGAAGCTGACAGAGAAGGGAAGAAATGGCTGAGAAACCTTTACATAGACTCTCTAAAACTATTTAGCATTACTCACAGTAGGTCTAGGAGCTAGAATCAAAATCTAAAAACTGAATTCAAATTTGATTCAGCAGACTTCAAGACATATTTTCTAGTGTTGATTCAGTTGAAGAAATCCTACATAGGATCAAGCAGTATGTATTCCTTGTGTTGGGATGAAACAGTGTTCTGCCTGTTCTGACTTCTTCTGATTTGAAAGTCTTTCTTCTACAGTAATGTGTTTGATTCATTTCCAGGTTACAGAGCATTTCAAGATTGAAGAGTGACTTGTGTGAAAGATGGTCGATCCTGTGAAATTATGTGAGTCTTCTAGCTCTCAGCTTAACTGGCCACAGCCTGAAGAACCATTCCATAAAGAGGAAGAAGAAAGAAAAGAATCAAAGATCAAATACTATCTGCTAACAGTTGTTACAGAAGACGACCTTAAGGAGCTAGGTAATACGCACATAAGATGTGGTAGCATGCAGGTTTTTATACAGGAGAACAGGGAGAAAAATGTTGAGGGTTGGCCAGAAATTCTACAGGTGCAGGATTTAGCAATAATGTGACCTCATCAGTTGTCTCATCTTTAACATTCCTGAGTCTGGAAGTTCTAATAACCTTGGTTCAGGTCTTCATACCAGAAAATCCACTTCACATCTGGTACCTTACTAAAAAAGAACATGAAAATAGAAATTATGGAGACAGATTTCCATCTTAGTCTTTAAAGCAAAAGGCTTTTGATTTAAACAAGGATAAAAGATTAATCTGCATTAATGCATTAATCTGGAGATTTGAATACATAACTGGATAAAATCCACTTTCTTCCTTGTGTTTGTCCTAAGGGATTACCAAGCAAGATTGTCAAGACTTTTCAAGGAACAGACGTGATGGTTGTAAGTCATGTTATTTTTATAGAGTAGAATGTAGAAAGCTTCCTGCTTTCCTACGTATCTCAGATATATAGGTATATAAGTAATCCATGTGCTGAATTTTTAATTATTATTTGAAACAGAACATGTTTATTAGAGTTCAATTCAACCTTCGAAGCCTCTCAATTGCAAGAGGTCAAATCAATGGTTACAATGTCCTCTTGTGTCTTTTAAAGATTGATAAGATTGATGTTCTTTCTTTGATAATACAAAATAGTATCAATGCCTTTGAAAACATCATGCACAATGGATTTCTACCCCTTTTGTAATACTGAACACAATGAAACTTGAGGTCTTAGTTGTACAGTTTGGATTCAGTTTAGGATTTTATATATGTAAGCATATTTAAATTTTTTCCACTGCAATTGTAAATTCTCAAAGCTGAGGGTAAATGATTCACTATCACTAAAATGTTAAAACTTACTTATTTCATATTTTTATACTACTCTGATAGAAGTCTTAGCTCCAAATTACAGGTGGCAAGGAGTAATATCTGCTGTTTGTAGACAATAGCAAAGTGTGTTTTGTTTGTTTGTTTTTTTAAATCTTCAGTGGCTGATAGACTTGAGAAGGAAGGGGAGAATCATGAACAGGAGGGACTGGAAAATGCAGAAAAGCACAGGGTGTCATCAGGAAGCCAAAGAGAAAACATCTTCCAGAACAATGACCAAGGTTGTCAGAAGGGCGAAAAGTCTCAAAATGCCAGTTTGCAAACAGCCTTTGAGGAGAAACAGACAGCGGTATCCAAGAAGAGATGCTGTAATGTGGAAAACTTCCAAGACAACGTGATCTCAGAGAGATCTTCACCAGGACAGAGTTCTTATGAGTGCACCGTGTGCAAAAGATGTTTCAGCCGCAGCTCAAGCCTCTTGAATCATCTGTGTACCCAGACTGCAAAAAAACTTCACAAATGCACACAGTGTAACAAGGTCTTCAACTGTAACTCGGCTCTGATTCAGCACCAAAAGATGCACCAGAGGCAGAAAGTATCATTTGAGTGTTCAGATTGTGGTGATCGTTTTACTTGCAAATCTAGCCTCGTTATCCATCAAAGAACTCACAAAAGGGAGAAGAGGCCCTATATGTGCTTACAGTGTAATCAGTGTTTCCACCATGCTTCTGAGCTGATAACTCATCCTCACCTGTGAATGTGATCCTTTGAGTCTTAGTAAGCTGGAGTTACAGGAATAAGAAAGAAGAAGCAACCTGTTTTTTTTTTTTTTTTTTTTTTTTTTTCACCTGATCTAACATAAAGTTGTGTGCAGGTAATGTCTAAGATTGGCAAAGCAAAGAAATAGGTAAAATCATAAATATCCCCAGCTGGAAGAGACTCACAAGAACTTTGAGTCCAATTCCTGGCTTCACACAGGACTATCCAAAGTTCAAATCGTATTTCTGAAAGCACTGTTTAAATGCTTCTTGAATTCTGGTAGGTCGCCTCTAATGCAAAGAGTGTGGCTGGAAGATCAGCTAATTGCTAAGACAGGCCATTGGCTAAAGAATGAATCTTACTTTTAACATGTAAGTTTCCATTAAGATGGAAACAGGAGTTTGAATTTATTTTAAAGATGGCATTTGAGAGAGAAATAGGACATATTACTAACAAAGATGAGAACTAGGTACTTATATTGGTACAGTTTTGATTCTAAGTTCAGCTGCAGGATGACTGTGTGCTAATTACTTTATCTATGCCTTTATGACTTGTTTTAAAATAAATGTTAACTTACCTTAAGTTTCTCACTGTAGAATGTGGACTAATGTGTCTGGATACTGAAGTTTCTGGAGTAGTTTAAAGAGCAACATTCTGAAAACCTAGAAGTCTTTTTCATTGGCTTTTAAAAGGAAAATATTCTAAAACTGTTCTTTAGAAGTTTTTCACCTTTTAATGGATTTTGGGTTGTGAACTTGCAAGGCATTTCTGAACACTAGCCTTCTGTAATCATCTAGGATTTCTGAAGGCATCAGCATCTGATCAAACATCAAAATAAACCATTCTTTCCCTCCCTGTGCTTATAGATCTCTGTAAGTTCTTGGCATCAGCAAAACATCTTTGATGTTGATGTTAGGAGTCATCTAGAAATCTTTAATTTCCAGCTTACCTAATATGTAGTTGAGGAGAAAGGAATCACTTAAGAGTTGGACTTACAGACAGACATGTCGGACCAGTGTCTCTACTGTCACGGGAATCATCGGGATACTCAAACCAAAAATAAAAAGAGTACTTTTATTATGCAGTTATGCGTTTAATGTAAAATTTGGCAGTTACTAAGAATTTAAATGACTGTTGCGTTCTCTCTGTCCCCTCTCAACTTTCACCAAATAGTCTCTGTTAAAGTTGGACCGCATCTTATGAATCAACAGATATCAGAGTGTTGATGTATGACAGTTCCTTCGCTAAAGAAGTTTCACCAATGTTCACTGAGATGAAAGGATAGAGAGACTCTAAGGCACCAAAGCAGGCTGGAGAAGCAGCCTGCTTTCTTGATGCGAGTCCACCTTGCTTAAGGGCTATGTTAGCTTTGCTGTGGACATATTAGCAGTAGTAACGCCAGAAGACTGTTTTTGTATATTAATAAACATAAAATATATTGAAGTTGTACTTGTTTTTACTCCCTTTCACAGAACCTGCCATCCAAAGTGTCTGGCAAAAGTTATCAGAATCAGGAAATCTTGATATTTTAAAAGTATTTCTAAGATATCATAGGTATCTCAGATATCTATTACAGAATCGCAGAAGAGGTTGAAGGGACCTCTAAAGCTAATTCAGTCCAACCCTCATATAATGTTATCTCTAATCCAACAGTCATTTTATGCACATTTTTAGAAGCCTGAGTTCACTTAATCTTCTAGCTGATGTACTGTGTTTTGTTCTGATCTCGTATAAGATTATTGGAAGAGATTATTGACAGTATATGCAAAAAAAAAAAAAAAACAACAAAACTTTTCTTTCTTGCTCCTTTAAATAAATGATATTTGTTAGAATAGTAAATATGAACTATGTGAAAAGATTTTACTATGAGGTGAAGCTTTAGCTTTGTGCTTTGACAACTGACTACTTCTGTTTTACTTTTTTTTTAAAACTTCATTGCAGTGAATATAATCTTGATGTTTTGGGGCTTTAATCTTTATTAGAGTGACTACATAAGTAAGTCTGTATATTGTATCTGGACAATACATAAGCATCATTAACTTGAAACTCATTAAAGGCTAAGTATTACAACCCTTGTTTGTGGTGGATTGGTGATACTTGACAGTTGTATTGGTGAGCAAAAGCATATGCTCTTATACATGAGCACCCACCAACATCTGCATTTCTCAGCCAAGCATGAACTTTTGATACCAATGACAGTGATTGTACTCTGTATTGCAACTGTTAAATTGCACGTTGGGTTTCTGTTTTCTGTCTTACTTTAATGAGTTTTGGATCAAACAATACATTTAAACATTTAATGAGAGCAATCCCTTAAGAAATGATTAAAAGTTGGGGTGGGTGTCAAAAGGATAGAGCAAGCTCTTTACAGTGGTGCCAAGTGGCTGGACAACGGGGCAATGGGCACAGACTGGAAGAAAAAGTTTGATCTAAACATAAGAAAATACTTTTAGGTATTTACTGACAGAGCACTGGGACAGGCTACCTATTGAGGTTGTGGAGTCTCCTCCTCTGGACGTATTCAAAACCTGCCTGGACGCTTTCCTCTGCAGCCTACTTTAGGGAACATGCTTTAGCAGGGGAGTTGGATTAGATGATCTTCCAAAATCCTTTCTAACCCCTATGATTGTGTGATTCTGTGGTTTATTGCCTATCTTTCTTCATGTCCCTGATTTTTGTAACAGATCCCAATAAGATGCATTTTATTGCTTCTTTTCCACTCTGAAATCCTTCCTTAGTTTTCCCACATCTTCCTCATGCTTAACTGACATTTCAGATATGAAATTTTATATTAGATAACAACACTGTTGGAGTAGATAAATGTAGGTCTTTGTGGCTGTTCTAGAACATTGGTAGTTAAATGGGTAGTATTTGTGGTTTTTCTTTTTGTTCTTGAAACAATTAACTTTGATTTTTGAGTGATCTGTTAAGCTTAATTCTCAGCATGAAGAGAAATCCTGGTTGATTTGGACCAGTATATAGAGCATCTGGAAGAGTAGTAAATCCGAAAAGTCTAAATGCCTATATTCAGATCCTCAAAGGGGTGAAAATTTTAGCATATTGCTGGAGAATTAATACATTCTCCTGGAACTAAATGCATTCCAGATCTGGAAGCAGGAGTAATACATATGTTCCCATTGTCTGGAGAACATGAACAGTTTCTTGTACTCTGAAAAATGGAAAATGCATGTGCAACAGTTATTTTATTAATAGTTTAATTAATTCTTTTATGTATTGCTGATAATTTGTCAATTAATTTCGACTATGTGGAGAGTTTGAGGAGTGCTCAATATTTCTTTATAAAGAGCAATTAGGATAATAAGTTTTCTTTTGATAGTAAATGGTATATGCTGGAAAGTATCAATTTTAAATTAATATCTAATAAACAAGCTATTTATTTGATAGATTTCCATTCATTTGGTATTCAAGTACTAAAGCTATCTCACTTCAGAGTCATGATTTTTATAAATTTAAGTAATGGTGTTTGGGGGAAAAAAGGGAGGCTTCTCTCACTGTACATCAATCTGCTCATATATAGCAGAAGGTTAACCTTTATTTCTTCCCATCTCAGCTGGATGACCTGCTAACTGAGGTGTCAACAGGTTTGCTTTTTTCTTTTTTTGAGGAAATCACTGCAGTATCTGAACTCATATTGCCAGTGTGGATGATGTTATCCGTATTTGGTCACTGAGATAATTTTTTTGTTCAAAAAGAAAAGGGCCAAAATGTTCATTTCTATCATCCAGATAATTTTCTAGTTATTTGCTTTCTAATAACGTGGTGTCAGTTTCTGAGATAAGGTCATAATTGTGATTCAGTCCTCAAGATTAGGCTCTTAAAACCTGAAAACAAACACTGCAGGAGAGAAAAATTAATTTCAGACTATAGAAATTAACTAAAGATGATACTATTAACAATGGAGCTACTGTTACCAAGAATGGCTTTTCTTCATGTGCTTGTAGAAAGTGCAGAGAGCAATCATGCTTTATGATGGACTCTGTTAGGGCTGCTACTCCAGTGTGGTGGGCAACAAATGCATGTTGCTCTGGACATTTCTGAGTGCATTTAGGGACACTAAAGAGACATTTGTTTAGGAGTGCTACTCTCCTCCTCCCCTGTGGTCTCAAGAAGGTGTCTCCTAGCAGTCAAGTTATTAGAACCAGTGTGTTCCTCCAAAATATTTGTTTCTGAGCTTCGTTATTCTGGTAATGCCCAGTATGACAACATACCTCTCCTAGCAGGCTTCTTTTGTTACTGTAATTATCTTTACATGCCACAGAATGCATGTGGGGGGTACAATGTCTCCCAGGATGGAGGATTAAAAATATGGAAAAGGATACAATTCTAAATTTCGGAAGAATTTGGAGAATGTTCAGTGCCTGAAGCTGAGGAGTCTGAAGTACTTTATAAATAGGCAAGGACAAACTGAATACTCACTAATACAGTCAAGCAAACATCAGTTTTTATTGTATGTACAGAAGGTATTTCTGATGTTTTCAGATACTAGCGTTTATGTTTTAGCAACTTCTGCTAAGTGTAATATTTGGTTTCTTTTGAGTTTATTTGAATTCCTCTTCTTATAGTCTTACCAAGAGAATAAAAAGTCTCATGGAAGAGTACTGACTTCATCAGGTTTAAGTTTCTTTTAAATCAATGTAAGTTTTTGACAGAAACACATAAAAACAATGTGTTATGAACCTTGCCCGATGCTCCAATTTATTTTGAAATGCAGGGGAAAAAGATCACAAATGCAAAAGGGCTTGGCTCTGACAGTCTTCAGGCATTAAAAATTGTACTACTTTCTTCCTTTATAAGTATTTAATCTGATTTGTTAAGTCTTCTTTCACAGCTGTTAGAGAGTCACTACTTCCACATGTGTACATTGTAATAATTTGTTCTTCCAAATGAGCTTATTCCAGAAAAATAATCTGTGAGGAATTCTTGCTCAGTGAGCCCTATTTCTTGAATTACTTCCTTCCATATGAAAATGCAGTTATCGCTTTTGATTACTCTTAGATAACTGTTGACAAAATGCTTAATTTATTAAATTAAGTAGTTTTAACTCATACTGCCTTTTAACATACAAGCTTATTGCCTGTTAACAGTAAGGCAAATTTTGCTTCAAATACTGAGAGTAAATACCCCTTTTTCCTGTATTATTGACTAGATGCTAAACTACATAAACTCAAACTATATTTTTAATTTCTTGCATTTTACTTAATCTTATGGGACACTAATGGTGTGATTTTGAATGTCAGTATTTGTAATGCATATCCTGTGCATCAGATCTGAGATGTATGTGGCTCTGGACAGGTCACAGAAGGGCCTATCTAAAATTTTCTACAACCTTTCTAAGTGTATGAGTTGGGACCTTAGAAAGAGGAAAGGGAACACTAACTGCCAGTATGCTCATGTTTTGTGGCTAATTTATTTTAAATGACTTCTGAGAAATTTATTAAGAAATAAAAAACGATGTTACTGAATAGATGAAAATTTATTAGTGTAGACAGTATTTACTTATACAAATGTAAGAACTTAAGACATCAGAAGTTAAGATTGAAGTCAGAAGAAATATTGTACTTACAGTAAACTGACAAAGAGGCCTGAAAGGTTTCTTCTCACTTTGAGTTTTGTTGCAGTGAATTTCATGAATCTTCTGCAGTGCCTTGGGTTGGAAGGGACCTCAAGGATCATCAAGTTCCAGCCACCCTGCCATGGGTAGGGTTGCCAGCTTCTAGATCAAATACTAAATCAGATAGTCCAGGGCCCCATCCAGCCTGGAATTAATACCTCCAGGGATGGGGCAACTGCAAACCATTTTCTGTTTCTGATCTCTTTATGTTGATTGTGTTCTTTGGCATAATTCTTGCTTCTGTCCAGTTATTCAGAAACTCTTCAATGTTCAAATGCATTTTTTAATAGACACTTGCACAACATTTTAACCTTCCTGGTTTTCCTTATAGCATTTATCACGAGTAACCTACTTGATTTTTTTTCCCGTTGCTGTGAGACTGATTGTAGCAGAAATGCTAGGAAAGTCAGGGCTTGAAGCAGTGATTGAGCACCTGGTGCGAAGGCAGGGCC